GGCCCCGGGATTCTCACACAACATGCAACTCACGCCGCCGCCATCTTAGCGCCCAGCCGCGCCGCGCGCGGAGCGCTTCCGGGGCAGAGGATGCGCGCGCTTACCACCAGCGCACGTGACCTGCGCGCGCACCGTGGCCTTCCCGAGCATGCGCATAAGCGCGCTTTCGGGCCGAGCATGCGCAGACTGAACTCTGTGTTCAAGGTGGGGAGCTCTTGCCCTCAGCGCACATCCGTCACGTGGCTTCCTGAGAGTTTCGCCCTGCCGGTTAGCGGTGACGTCATGTGGCCGCAAAATGGCATCGGTGTCCCCGCTTTCATGCCCTAGTGAGTTTATTTCTTTGCTGATGACGTCGAGCAAACAATTTTTTAATAATTATTTTATTTAGGGATCGGGTGCTGGACTCCCATATGTTCTCCCGCGGTTCGGTTCGAGTCCCCCAGGACCTGGCGGCTTGCTTTCTCACTTCCCTCTCTGTCTCTCACTCCATCCCTCGCTGATCAAATTAAAATAAATAAAATGAAATAAAAATTTTTAAATAATTATTGTATTTTACTTTATTTGCATTTTTATTTTAATTTTTTTGAGACGTTTTCGCTATATGGCGCGTGGGCTCGCCAGACAGAGACATAGAGACAGAAAATGAGAAATCACCCCTCAGGGGGGATGGTCACGCCGCAATCCCTTCTCCTCTATTCTCCTCCCGGGATCTTGGGCACGCACGCACACGCGCCCGGCGTGAGTTTTAAGACGCCGGGTCTGGGACGCGAACCGCGGTTGAGTACGTGGGAGTCCAGTGACATAGCCATTACGCTAACTGCTGGTTCTCTCTTTTATTTTAATTTGAGCAAGAGGGGCAGAAAGAAAGGGGAAGTGAAAAAGCAAGCTGCCAGGTCCAGGATTCGAACCATGGTAGGCTCTGTAGGAATCTAGCGCCCTTAACCACCACGCCACCTGCTGGCCTCCAATTGTTTTCAATTACTAGTTACTGACTTTTGTATTTCTTCTGTGAAAATGTTAGTTTTTCTTTTTAAGGAGTTATGTATTCAGTTTTTATTATTATTATTTTAATTTGACTGGAGAGAGACAGAGAGTGAAGTGAAATAGAGTCAGCAGGTCCAGAACTCAAACCATGGCCACCCATGTGGAAGTCCAGTGCCTTAACCACATCACGTGGCCACCTGCCGGTCCCATTGTTTGTGGTTTTTAAGTATTTTTTTTCAAGAGTGACTTTTGCTATAGGGTGCGTGTGCTCATCAGAGAGACAGAGACAGAAAGTAAGAAATCACTCCCAAAGGGGGATGGCCATGCCGCAATCCCTTCACCTCCATTCTCCTCTTGGGATCTTGGGCACGCACGTACACACACATGTACCAAGCATGAGTTTCAGGTTGCCAAATCTGGGACTCGAACCCCTGTCAACTACATGGCAGTCTAGTGACGTTACTGGTCCCTGTTTGTGATTTTTGGTTTTTCCAAATGAATTTTTTCTGACCACCCTGGCAGGAACCTTGTTGAGTCCTAAAAGTGTTAATTACTCCAATAGAGGAACCAGCAGTTAGCGTAATGGCTATGTCGCTGGACTCCCACGTAGTCGACCGCGGTTCGCGTCCCGGACCTGGTGGCTTAAAACTCACACCGGGTGCATGTACGTGCGTGCCCAAGATCCCAAGAGGAGAATGGAGGAGAAGGGATTGCGGCGTGGCCATCCCCTCTGGGGGGGTGATTTCTCACTTTCTGTCTCTCTCTCTGTCTGGTGAGCGCATGTGCCCTATAGCGAAACCCTCTCAAAAAAAAAAAAATTACTCGAATAGAAATGATACCTGACATCTCCAACAATTATTGAAATTTATTTATTTTTAAAATTTTGGTAGAGGGCCAATGTGCTCTCCAGAGAGGGAGTGAGAAAGCACCCCTAATGCAGGGAAGGTGACACCACAATCCCTTCCCCGTCTCTCCCTCCGGGGATCAGCATGCATGCAAACATGCCCAGAGTGTTTTTCAAGCGCGGTTCAGGGCTCAAACCGTGAAGTCAACTATGTGGAATCCAGCTGCCTAAACCACCATGCCACCAGCCAACCCAATGAAATGTTTTTGTTCTTTTTTGTTTGTTTTTAAGAATTATTTAATTTCATTTATTCATTTTATTTTAATTTGACCAGAGACAGACACATACACAGAGACAGTGAGAGAGAGAGAGAGAGAAACAGGGAAAGTGAGAAAGCAAGATACCAGGTCCAGGACTAGAACCATGGTTGGCCATATGGGAACGTCCAGCGCCTTAACCACCATGCCACCTGCTAGTCCCTGGTTATTTTTTTAAGAATTGTTTTATTGGGACCAGCAGTTAGCGTAATGGCTATGGCGCTGGACTCCCATGTAATCCACCGCGGTTCAAGTCCATGCATGCCCAAGATCCCAAGCAGAGCATGGAGAAGGGATTGCGGTGTGACCAACTCGCTTTCCTTCTCTCGGTCTCTGTTTTTCTGGCGAGAACACACGCCCTATAGCAAAAACCTCGCAAAAAAAAATTATTTTATTTTGGGACCAGCTGTTGGCGTAATGGCTATGTCGTTGGACTCCCATGTAGTCCCCCGCGGTTCAAGTCCATGCATGCCCAAGATCCCAAGAGGAGAATGGAGGAGAAGGGATTGCGGGGTGGCCATCCCCCCTGGGGGGGGATTTCTCGCTTTCTGTCTCTCGGTCTTTCTGGTGAGCGTGTGTACTCTATAGCAAAAACCTCTCCAAAGAAGAGAATTATTTTATTTAGCTTTATTTATTTATGCATTTATGTATTTATTTATTTTAATTGGACCAGAGGGGGACAGAGAGAGGTGAGAAAGCAAGCCACCAGGTCCGGGATTCGAACTGCAGTCAACCATGTGGGAGTCCAGCCCCCCTAAACACCACGCCACCTGCCAGCCCCCCAATTTTTTTTTTAATTCGAAAGGGAGTACAGGGCCATTTTGCAGCTGGTGTGTTTCAAACCCCACCACTGCTGCTCCATTTCCAACCCCAGTAAAACTCACCCTCCTATCCCCAGTCGGACCCCAGAAGTATTTTCAAGCCACTGGGTCCAGGACTCGAACCACATAGTTGGCCATGTAGGATCCTGTTCCTTAACCACCAAGTTACAGGTGGCCCTCTAAAAGTAGTTAATGAAGATGTTGACTTTTTTTTTTTTTTTGAGAGGTTTTCACTATAGCGCGCGTGCGCTCGCCAGACAGACAGAGAGAAACATAGAGACAGAAAGCGAGAAATCACCCCCCAGGGGGGATGGTCACGCCACAATCCCTTCTCTTCCATTCTCCTCTTGGGAGCTTGGGCACGCATGCACACGCGCCTGGCGTGAGTTTTAAGCCACCGGGTCCGGGAGGCGAACCTCGGTCGACTACGTGGGAGTCCAGCGACATAGCCATTACGCTAACTGCTGGTTCCCAAGATGTTGACTTTCAAGGCCTTGCCGTACTAACTACAGAATTCTCTCCATAAATTCTCCCTGGATCCACCAATCCTAGAAATAGCCGGAGGCCTCCCAACGAGATGGGGCTCAAACAGGGGACCTCTGACAATGGAAACATGAGAGGAACAGGGGAAATTGGGGGGCTGTAGGTGTTTTCTGGGACTAGAGAGAGGTGGGATGAGGGCTTGATCTCCCAGTTGGTAGGTGGAGTTAATTGGTAGACTAGAGGCAGGGAGGCCAGAGAGGTGGGGTCCAGATCGCCCTCCAGAAAGAATGAATGAAGCCAGGAAGTAGCCTGGTGACCCTCGCTTCCAAATTCCCTGCTTCCCAACTGTCAGCGTCCCATCCAAGCACTCTCTCGGGTGACCAAGCAATCACATGACGAGTCACCCATGGCCCAATCGCAGCTCCTTACCGCATCTCTGTAAATGCCCGGAGCCCAGAAGTTTCCCTTAGCATGAGGTACACCCAGCTGAGGTCTTCTTGCCTCTCTGGCAGTGAAGGACACACAGACCCTGACATCTTCCTGCCTGACCTTGTAAAAGCATCCTTGTGAACCCCAACCGAGGAGAAATTTGGTGAGCCTCAGTGACCCAGGCCCCATGCTTCCACTCCATCCCTTGGGTCCACAGCAACTTGGCCCTGAAAACTGCACCCTTGGACACATTACATAGGTGGGCACTTTAGAAACGACATAGAGATGGGAACCAGCAGTTAGCGTAATGGCTATGTTGCTGGACTCCCACGTAGTCGACCGCGGTTCGCATCCCGGACCCGGTGGCTTAAAACTCATGCCGAGTGCATGTGTGTGTGTGCCCAAGATCCTGAGAGGAGAATGGAGAAGGGATTGCGGCATGGCCATCCCCCCTGGGGGGTGATTTCTCGCTTTCTGTCTCTCTGTCTCTCTGTCGAGCACGCGCACCCTATAGCAAAAACCTCTCCAAAAAAAAAAAAAAAAAAAGAACGGACAAGGGGTGGTGGCTTGGCCATCCACCTGGGAGGGTGACTTCTTTTTTTTAAATTTTATTTATTCATTCATTTTTAATTTGACAGAGAGAGACAGAGAGAGAGAAAGAGAAGTGAGAAAGCAAGCCACCAGGTCCAGGACTCGAACCACCTGCCAGCCCCTTGTCTATCAAATATTAAGACTACGTGCAATGATTGACAATCACACATACCAAGTGATTTTTTATTTTTTAAGTTTACCCAAAAAGAAACTTTTTTTAAAAAAAGAGATATTTGCCATAGGGTGCTTGTGCTTCCCGGAGAGACAAAGCAAGAAATCACCCTTGGGACCAGCAGGTGGCAGATGATTAGGGCGCTGGACACTCCCACATGGCCCACCATGGTTTGAATCCTAGACCTGGCAGCTTGCTTTCTCACTTTCACTTTGTCCCTCTGGTCAAATTAAAATAAAGTAATTCTAAAAAAATAATAATAATAAAAAAAATAGGCAAGAGACAGCTATGGCTCTGTAAGACAGTGAGGCTAGGAAGTGAGTTCAAATCCCTTTCTTACCACCACTTTCTAAATTCAAGACCTCGGCCCTTCGTCAGAACATACTAGAACTGAAACTCACTCATCCGTTTGGTGCAAGGACTCAGTGGCTACAAAATGGCATCAATGGCCCCACCAAGCATTACAGCGTAATTTACAAGAGGTGCTTCAGGGACCAGCAGTTCGCATAATGGCTATGTCGCTGGACTCCCATGTAGTTGACCGTGGTTCGCGTCCTGGACCCGGCGACTTAAACTCACGCCGGGCGCGTGTGCGTGCATGCCCAAGATCCCGAGAGGAGCATGGAGAAGGGATTGCGGCGTGACCATCCCCCCTGGGGGTGATTTCTCACTTTGTCTGTCTCCCTTTGTCTTTCTGGCAAGTGCACCCCTATACAAAAACTTCTCCCCCAAAAAAGAGACTCTTCAAACAGTTTGGGGATCCTGAAACACTCAGCCAACTTTGTCAGAGGGTGCGTATGCTTAAGAGACAGAATGCGAAAGCACCCCATAATGATGTATCATCACGCCTCCATCCTATTGGGTTTTGGGACAGTGTTTTTTAAGTGGCTAGGGCCAAGATTCAAACCTCACCATGGTCAGATGTGGGATCCAGCCCTTAACCAAGAGACCATCGGGTCAGCCCTTGGTCAACTTTCTAAAATTTTCTTTAGGTTTGTCATTGGGTACATGTGTTCACAAAGGAGAGGAAAAGTGAGAAATCACACCCCCCCCACCCCAGCGGTTGGCTACACTGCACGCACACATACCTACACCATGTGATTTTCAAGCTGCCGGGTTTGGGACTCGAACTGTGGTCGGCCATGTGGGAGTCCAGAGCCTTAACCACCATGCCACCTGCTGGCTCCCTCAGCCAACTGCTTTAGCAGCCTAATTCAGGAGCCAGGCAACAAATAACCACCTTTTGGTTCTCTGCTGGCTGTCCTTCCCCAGAAGAAGACACAGAAGGGAGACACAAAACTTAATTTAATAGAAATTTTGTTTGCGGTTCTTACATTCTCAGTGTGAGCCGAGCTGGAACCCGCTGCCCCACCCCCAAGTGGCCTGTTCCTGGGGGCAGAGGGGACATGAGGGGAGAAAAACGGGAAGAGCCCCATTCTTTCTCAGTGCTGGGGGTCTAGAGCTGCCACCCTCTGTCCCCCTGTGGGTTCCAGGAAGGAGAGCAGATGCAATCTCCAACCCAGGGCGTTTCCTCTGCACCCCAGGCCCTGGGTTGGAGGGTAGTGAAGGAGGGGTCTGGGGAGAGAAAACAACAGGAGGAGGAAAAGATGTAAATCAAGAAAGATGGGGGGGGGGGCTGGAATTAAAGACAAAAAACATCAGTAAAAAAAAAAAAAAGAAAGAAAGGAGGGTGGGGGAACAAAACCAAAATCCACCCCAAATCTATACCCGCCTGGAAGAAAAGGAAAGTTCTCGAGTCTCACAGAGACATTATTTGGCGCGGCCGGCTCTGCGGCGGGAGCGCTCGGGCCTCGGCCCAGTCCTGGGGGCGGGTGGCGCGGCCTCTAGAGCTCGTCCTTGGCCTGGCCAGCGGCGTCTTCCTCGTCGTCGTCCTCCTTGTCCTCCTCCTCGTCGTCGTCCTCATCTTTGTCCTCCTCGTCGTCCTTGTCCTCTGCCTCCTCCTCCTCTTTGCGTTTCTTGTCCTCTTCCTCCTCTTTCAGCCTCTGTTCCTCGTCCTGCTTGTCCTTCATGGCCTTCTCTGCCGCCTGCGTGCACAGACCGCACGGCTCAGCGCCCGGTCCCCACCTGCCAGCCCTGCCCGTCCCCACCTCCCCAGGGACCAGGACCGGGACGCGGCCCCACCTTCGTGACGCCCCACGTCTCTTTGCCGAACTCCTCCGCGTACGCCTCGTCGTTGGTGATGAGGAAATTGTCGAAGATGGTGCCGGACTTGACCTGGGGGATACATGGAGGGGAGGGGGGTCAGAGTGACACCCAGAAGCCCTGGCTTGCAAGGAGGGCTCTGTGGTCCCTCTAACGCCGTGCACTGCTGTGGTCACTGGTAAGGCAGCCGACACTGAGCTTTCTAGAAAGCAGCCCTGCCCGGGAACACCCCAGCTTGGCCGCGGTACTGCAGGGACCTACTGATGCGGAGACTGTCCTAGGTACAGAACATCAGAGACCAAAGGGGACAAAAATGCCGTCCTAGCTAAGCTTCTTTCTTTTCTTTTATGCTTAGGAATTATTTAATTTTATTCATCGTTTTGTGTGTGTGTGTGTGTGTGTGTGTGTGTGTTTAATCTGACCAGAGAGGGAGGAAAAGTGAGAAAAAAAAAAAGCCCCGCCAGGTCTGGGGCTTGAACCACAGTCGGTCTTGTGGGAGTCAGGCACCTTAAACACTATGCCCACCTGCCGGCCCCCATTCATGTTATTTTTCCTTCCTCCTCCTTTTTTTTTTTTCTGAAGAATTATTTTAATGTATTCATTTGTTTATGTTATTTTATTGGACCAGGGAGGCACAGAGAAAGAGAAAGGGCAAGTGAGAAAGCAAGCCTCCGGGTCTGGGACTTGAACCGTGGTCGGCCTGGGGGAGTCCAGTGCCCTTAACCACCACACCCAATCCTAATTAATTAATGTTCTAACTGGTACTGAGCATCTTGTAAGTAGTTAAATAAACCGATTTGTGTTCAAGTTCTTGCAGAAGCACCTGGAGTGTTATTAAGGAGAATTTTGAAAAAGGTACTGTGTAGACGGATAGACCAGGAACATTTCAGAAATGGCACCGTGTTGGGATCAGAACTGCCTGGGGTCCAATGTGACCCTGTCTATTCCCTCCCGGGTGACCCAGGGGACCAGAGGCCCCTCGGGATCCTCCCCTTCCCTCCATCTCACCTGCCAGAGGTCTAAGCCCAGCACGGCGAAGTTCTCGTAGGCATATATATTGGGGTCAGGGGAGTACTCGGGGTTGTCGATTTCCGGGTGGATCCAGGTGCCCTTGTAATCGGGGTTGTCAATCTGCCGGGGCTTCCACTCGCCCTGCGGAAGAAGGCGACGGGAGGGTGAGGAAAGGTTGAGGGCCAGAGCCGTGCCCACCTTGGAGCCCTGGCCCCGGTTGGAGCCCCAAGCTCACCTTGTACTCGGGGTTCTGGATCACTGGTGGTTCCCACTCTCCGTCCATCTCCTCGTCCCAGTCCTCAGGCTTCTTAGCATCGGGGTCTGGGATGTGCTCGGGCTTGTCCCAGTCCTGGGGGGGACATGAAGGTGCCAGGGTGACCCCCATTGTCTTCTCCCCCCTCTGTGGAGGAGAGCTCCTGCCCAAGTACCCACCTCGGGCTTGGAGTCCGTGGGATCATCGATCTTGGCCCGTTCGTCCCAGTCTTCCGGCTTCGAAGCTTCGGGATCCTTGATCTTCTTGGGTGGCAGGAAGTCCCAGTCGTCCTCCAAGGAGCCCGACTCCACCTGGCTGTTGTCGATCTTCACCTCGTAGGTGTTGTCGGGCCGCACGATCAGCGTGTACAGGTGCGTGAATTCGTCATCCTGAAGAGGGCGGGAGGTGAGTGGCCACGCCCACTGGGCTGGCCGAGGGCCCTCCCAGGGCAGCCACCTGTCACCACCCCCGGGGCACACCTTACAACGGATGTCCTTGTTAATGAGCACATTCTTGCCCTTGTAGTTGAAGATGACATGAACCTTCTTGGTGCCAGGGCCACAGATGTCAGGACCTAAGTGGGGATCACACGTAGGTCTGAGTGAGGTGACCCACCATTCTAAGGATCCCACCCCTCTTTATCAAACACCTGCTTCTTCAACTTAGAGATGTGTCAAGGTTGTAAAGAGAAGGTGCAGACCCTGGTTCTATCCTTACAAAGTTGTGGCTAGAGGGCTGGCAGGCGGCTAGGGTGCTGGACTTTCACATGGCTGATGGTTCGAGTCCTGGACCTGGCGGCTTGCTGTCTCACTTTCTGTTTTTTTTTTCCTCTCTCTCTCGGGTCAAATTACAAAATACTAATAATAGAGGCTGGCAGGTGGGGTGGTGGTTAAAGGTGCTGGACTCCCACGTGGCCAACCATGGTTCAAGTCCTGGACTTGGTAGTTCCCTTTCTCACTTCACCTCTCTGTCTCTCTCTGATTAAATTGGAAAATAATAATAAAGTTAAAATAATCATTAAAATAGTAACAATTTAAAAAACAAAATTGTTAAAAAAAAAGCTATGAATAGAGTTTTAAGTTACAGAGAGAAAAATTAAAAATCAGCACCCTAAAACTCAATATCCTCATCTGTTAAAGTAGGAAATGAGGGGCCGGCAGGTGGCACAGTGCTTAAGGGTACAGGATTCCCACATGGCCAACCACGGTTCGAGTCCTGGACTTGAGGACTTGCTTTCTCACTTTCCCTTTCGCTCTCTGTCTCTCTCTGGTCAAATTAAAAAAAAAAAAAAAAGAATAATAAATGGAATTAAATAAGTAAATCTTTAAAAAATTATTAAGAAAATTGGGAAATAACTACATGCAACGTAGAAATTCACAAACAGCCTAGATTAGGAATGACTACACACTAAGTAGCAGCTATCTGGGACCTATGGCTTTAACTCGCCTCTAAAGAAAAGTCTGATTACCCGAAGGCTTCCCATATTCCAAAGATCATCTTCCCAGGGTATGAAGAACCCACGGGGTCTCCGTTTGCCTCCCACAGGAGGGAGACTGGCACCGGGGAGGGGGCGCTCACCAAACATGATGTTGTATTCGGAATCTCCGTGCATGTCTGTCTGGTCCAGACCACCCGGAAACAGCTTCACGTAGCCGCCCCCACAGTCGATGTTCTGCTCATGCTTGACGGTGAACTGCACCACCAGGGTCTGGTCCTTGTTGCTGAAGGGCTCGAATCTGGCCGACAGGGCGTAAAAGCGGGCATCCTGGCTGGTCTGCAGCCCTAAGATGGGGTGGCAGTGAGGTCACAGAGGAGCCCCTGGCCCCGGGGGGAGGTGGGGGGGACACTCCAGACCTCCCTGCTGCAAACCCCATATAGGAGACTCTCTTCCCTGTTCCTGGGGGATTGCCCTGAGTCTGTGCACAGACTACCGCTTCCACGAGGAAGTCTTCCAGGATCTGAGCACCCACTCCCAGACTCTTACCTTTGTCTTTTTCCTGGTCCCCGTAGAACTTGCCAGAACTGAGGACAAATTTGCCAAAATCTGACTTGTGTTTGGACTCGATCCAGCGCTGGGTCCACCCATCTGAAGGGTCAGAGGGGCAGGTCAGGGCGGCCGTGACATCCCCACACGAAGCCATCTGCCACCAGGTGCTGGCGGCGGGGAGGGTGATCCCCCCGGCTCTCCCCACCCCAGCCTCTAGTTTGACACCTCGCGTGGTGTAAGAGCTCCTGGGGCGATCTCTAACTCCCGCCGCGGCAGGCCGCGGCGCCCTCTGCGCTCCCCGGGGACGCCGAACAGGGATCGCCCGCGGCTCTGGTCCCCGGGGGCCCCTGTGTTGGCCCTCTGAGCGGTAATTACAGGCGACAACACGGATCCGGGCTGGGGGGTCGGCCCCGTCGTCAGGGAGGCCTCGACGCGGAACCAGGCGTTACCTCCGTCCGAAAACTGCTCCTTGAAGTAGATCGTGGGCTCGGCGACGGCCAGGCCAAGGAGGCCGAGCAGCAGCGGGACGGGTAGCAGCATGGCGGGCCGAGGGGGCGGCGGCGCGCGGGCCCTTTAAAACGATCCTCCGGCAGCAGCTCTGCAGTACGGACGAACATGGCCACCGGCCGAGCGCTTTTATACCCACCCGCCTCTCAACCCAACCTGACCCAGCCCTAAGGCCCGCCCGCCAAGCCTTATCATTGGTCTTAGTCCACAGCCGACCCTTCCCATTGGACCCTTGTCGGTCCAGCACGTTCAGCTGTGCCTCGGAACGCTGGGTTCCCAGATGGCCGATTTCTATTGGTCGCACCGCCGGCCAATGAGGGTCGACCACGCGTTGTGGGGGACGCCCTCTAGTGGGGTGGGGGCCGCGAGCCCCTCAAGCCGGGTCATGTGATCAGACTTGAGCCCAACCCGTCCGGACCCGCGCGCTTCGCTCCGCATCTGGGCGTTTAAAGAACCCGCGCGATCGCAGGTGTCAAGTGCACGGGACCGGGACCCTGCCCCAGCGTCGTCCCCTGCCAACCCCACTGCGTGGAGGAGTGGGCAAGGCCTTCTTAGCCACTTTTTAACCCCGCATTTGGGGAAACCCCCATCTCGATTCTCTCCACCCCATCCCCCCCACCCACGCCCACGATGGGGCAAGAGGGCACCAGGGATCAGGGGCCGGGGCCCAGGGCCTCCGCTGCACCCTGGATCCTCAACCATGCAGGTCGGCAGGGGAAGCTGCAAGTTTCCTCTCCTTCTGCCCCCTGAGTTCCCTGGCAGCCTGTCACCCTGCTGCTCTGTGACCAGGTGCAAGTGCCTGAGCCTCTCTGAAGTCGCAGGAGCTCTTGAGAGGCTGGGAGAGGCGACCTTGGCTTTTACAGCTTGTAGGGCTGTCCTGGGACATA